TCTTGTTTTTAATTAAATGAAATATACCTTCATTTCTCTCTAACATTTCAGTAAGTAGATACAGATTATGTTCTAAAAATTAAAATTTCCACTAAAAAAATCTGTGGGAATATCATCATAAAAACAATAGGATTACCAATGTCAAAGAAATTATTGTAACAGAAAATTATTATTTTATTGTTACATCTGTTAAAAATTTTGATCCAAAATACTTTTACCTCTATATTTTGTTTGTAGAAAAAGTATACATTTCATATTTATTCTTACTCTATTTAATTGATAATATTTTATTTTATTTCAATTAATTAATCATGATATATTCCCCCTGTTTCAAACAAAAAAACCTGTCATTAATAAGATAGAGAGTTTTGGACAAGCTACAGTGTTCAAATATAGAAGAGGTACTTGCTGCAAGGCTGAGTACAATCCCTAAAATTCACACTAGTGGAAAGAATAAAGCAAGTCCTGCAGTAAGTTATCCTATGACCTCTACAAATGCTCCATAACAATGCATGCTTACATAGACACACACACACACACACACACACACACACACACACACACACACACACACCATTTAGCCTACTGCTTAGGGCCTATTCAGTACTGCTTATATGTACATGTATTTTGGGCTGGCTATTTGGAATTAGATAACATCTGAGAGGGAGCATCCCTGGATAAAACTGATTGTCCGTCTCTCAGCAGATGTTTATTGCCTGTATTTCTTCATCTAAGGGTAGAGTCTTGAGAAAATTCCACTATGGCACTAGCAGGTTGACTGGTGTCATTGTATAGGTTTTGCTTAAGTAACCATATTGTTTAGATTTCATGGGTGCAACATCCCATTTTCACCTGGAAGACACTGTATAGCACCTGGACTCATGGCCCTAAACTCTAATAATCTGTCTGCTCCTCTTCAGTGATGTTGGTTTCTCTCCTAACTAACTTTATTCTTCCCGTGGCATACATCTTAAAAGATAAGCACTTCAGAGCTCATAAGAAATATTTTCTAGAACTTGGCTATAGATTAGGTTGTCTGCTTTGAACAAAACATTCACATGTTAAATTCAGTCTTCAATTTTGGACATGGTTTCTGAAAAAATGTTAGGGTTAAAGTAATGTATAGGGGTGGCGACCTGTTTTTATGTTTCTCATGAGAAAGGTTTAAAGGTTTTAAGAGATCAAGAATGTGTTCTCTCTCTCTCTCTCTCTCTCTCTCTCTCTCTCTCTCTCTCTCTCTCTCTCTCTCTCATGTTCAGAGTCAAACAGAAAGAAATCATTTAACAGGGTAGAATTTATAGGCCTTTTTTTTTTTTAAATTCTCAGCCTGCAAAACAGGCAGAAAGTAAACCTGTTGTTTGGGCTGCTGATGCTGTAGAAGTGTATGATACTGATGTAACATACTATGACAGAGCGGTGGAAATTCTGTTTTGATGGTTCTGGTACAGAACAAAAAAATCTACAAAATATTTTACTTTGTGTGTGAATGTGTGTGTGTGTGTGGGGGGAAAGAGTGTGATGATGTGATGACTATCTGTATGAAAAGAGTGCTTTTGTCCTTGCAAACCTGTGTGGAAGCCACAGACTGATGTCAGTTGTCTCCTGGCACTTGTCATCCTATTTTTGATGCAGGGTCTCTCTGAACCTAGAGCTCACATATTCATCTCTGGTGACATAACATTGTAGGGACTGTCTGTCCTTAGCACTGCGGTTATGGGCTGGGCATATCCAAGCAGTTCGGGTGTCCACTGTGGACCTGAACTCGGGGCCTCATGCATATACATCAAGGACTTTCCCCCATCCCTAGGAAAATGTAATTTTAGGCAAAGCCTCTGTTTCACAAACTGGCCCTGTTTAAGCAGACAGCATCATGAATTTTTCTTCACTAGTGGGATCCAGTTGTTAACCACCTTTCTTCATGAAATGGCCTTCAGAAGATGACTCCAGAGATTTTGTGCAGCTCCTGACCTCCAGTGACACACCTTAGATTATTTTCCTCTTCTGAGTCTCAGTTTCCTTATCATGAAGCGGTGGCAATATTGGGTTGCTGTCTGAGATGGGTATTGTAGAGAGTGTTCCTGACACAAAATTTATCAAATACTATTTTGGCTATTGTTACTGTTCTGTAGCATGTCTGATTCACAACTCAAAAGCTTGACACTTCAAGGAAAACATGTCTTGACAATAAAATTGGAACACTTAGCAAAGCATTAATACACAATATCTTTCCTGAAATGATTTAATTATCTTAATATTCTATAATACTACACAAGAAGACTGGCTTTCTGATTTCCATGACTTTTTAACAACTATTTTGATTTATGAAAATTCCCTGAAAAGCCATAGAAGTCCTGTTGTAAGGAGTATCATTCAACCATGTTTCAGTTCCAAGCTTTGCTAATATCTCATTGCTGATGTCTTCTCAAATATTTTACCAAAAGTATTCATTTGTACAATGCGTCCAACTTCTTCTCAGCTGTTTCAACGTGGATCAATTTTGGTATCAACCTAGTAAAATTATTTCTTTTTAACATGGAATAGTATAAGTTGTTGCTTTTCAGTTGTTGTTGTTATTATTTTAAGTTCTTTGTTCCTCATCAAAAAAAAAAAAACTGTACATAAGATTTGACTTCATCTCTAGTTTGGGGCAAACACCAACTAGAGTGTTCCTGGTGGTCTAGTGGACAATTTTCTAACACTACAGGAGAAACATAGTAAGAAAGAGGTCATTGTAGCAATGACCACATGTGGAAGGAACGGCTGGGCACTTAGCATATATGTGTATATATGACACACTGTATATGTGTGTCAGGACAATTCAATACTTTTTTTTTCCAGCTATAATTTCTTAAAAGTAAATAAGAAAGACTTTCAGAATGGATATTTTCAGAGAAATCTTCAAAACACAATTCATGTATTTTTGTCAAACCCCAAGTCATCAGAAAACTAAGGCTACTGTAAATATTGACATTATTGCACATAAGTTAAAACAAATTTGTATAGTTTTTTTCTGTGCTGAGGAACATTATTGTGAGGATAAAATCTCTTTTATGCCAAAATTCTTTGGTCTATTGACGTGTATTTTACATGAGGTGAAGTGAAAAACCGATTGAACTTTTGAAAGGTTATGTAAGCTATTGATAATATCTAGTAATGTAATACTTTTTTCATGATTGATATTTTTGTAGTTGTCACACACACACACACACACACACACACACACACACACACACATACACACACACAAATCTACCACTGGCTTTTGTCCATCCAAAGCTGTAAAGTTTTCCCTCAACCATTTCTAAATATGACAAATATGTTCATTAATGTGACCAAAAGAGTAATAGTCTATTTCTAGATTCTGCCACTGAATCTCAAATAATTAGTGTATAGCTTACTAATTTGGGGTAAAAAAATATATTTTTCCTTCTTTTTGCAGTGCACTCATTAATAATATATGATCATTTATTTAACCAGGTTTTTTAGATCATAGATGAACTGTTATTTATATGGTAATGGTATTAGTAAACTCAAAAAATTATATTAAAAGCACTTACTTAATTGTATTTTAATATGAAGGAAATTATAGTGAAAACCAATTCTGACAGAAGTGTTTTAACAATTAGGTCTCTTGACAAATTCACTTGAAAGTATAACTTAGCTTTTCCTATATTGCATAATTAAGTACAAGCCTCAGCAACTGACAATGCATGATGAACAATTGGGAAAATAATGTGCAATGTGCCCTCAACAAGAAGGTTCATAGTAGTAAAAACTGAAACTATGCAAGCCCACATGCGTGCAAATATACATGCATACATGCATACTCACACACATATACTCACACTAGTGCAGGCACATACACTCACACACATGCACACACACCACAGGTCGAGGCAAGGAGGTCCTTAACAGAGACAGACACAAATTATTTGAAAGTAAAACTAGTAACAGTTTATACTGACTAACAGTGAAATGCAATTCATCTGATAGGTAAGGTCTGAAATGGGCCTTGATGTGTTAGCAAAGTTTTGAAGATGTTGACAAAGGTGATAGCTGAAAATGATGGTTAATGTTAATTGTCAGCTTGACAAAATCCAAAATTACCTAGTGGCTAGATGGACTTGGCCATGCCTGTGGGAGGCTATATTGACAACATACTGCAGTGAGAAGAGCTGCCAACTGGAAGTAACACCATTGCCTGGCTTGGATCATAGATTTCGTTGTATGAAAAATGGAATGGAGGAATGGCATGTGTCCACTGATTTCTGCTTCTTTACTGTGTATAGTACCTATGAGTTCTTGAAACAGAATCCTTTGCTCAAAGGTATCATCTAGGGAGACTGGTTGTGTACTGCCAGACGAAGTCCTTAGATTTAGCTGAATTTCCCCTCCCCTTTTCTCCATCTGCTTCCACTCACTCCTTTCTTCATCATCCCTATTGCAAGCTGTAACTTGAAAGAATACATTTTGTAATACATAAACCTTAGAACCCGCAACAACAATTATTTTAATAACAAAAGTTACAAAAAATCCACATTTGTGGATGACATAACAATTGCCAAATGATATCTGGTCATGTGAGCAATTTGTGCACAACTATTCATCGAGGACTTTGTACTTAATAATAATAATAATAATAATAATAATAATAATAATAATAATAATAAATAATGACTTGTTAAACTTGCAACCCTGAGATTGGTATGATTATTATGATTCTTATTGATCCTAAAAAATTAATCCTCTGATGTTTGTAAAATGACTCATGAAACATGAATCTAGAAAACCCAACCTGATGGTTTTCAACGCAGAGAAGGGAGAAGGCAGCAAAGCTTCATTCATGTGTAAAGAGGCAACATTGTAACTGGTCAATTAGAAAGTTAAAGTTAGGACAGCATAGGCTGCCTTTGAAGATTTGAATCACTATAAACAACTGGGTAACTGACATCATTCTCATCATAAGGTTTTATTCTTCTTTATATTTTCTTCTCTTTCAGGCTGATGTCATCGACGTGAGTTATGGAACTGTAGATGATTTAAAAAGGATCACAAAATTTAAAAATACAACAAATCAAATTGCACTCCTGAAATTAGGAAAATTACCACTGCTGTATAAGGTTAGTATAAAAGCTCTTATTTGGTGATAGAGTAAATGAAGTTTTTATTGCTGTTTAAGGTAGAGGCTTTTGAAGTTATATATATGGAGAGAGTGCATATGTGTGCTTGTGTGCGAGTGTGTGCGTGTGTGTGTGTGGCATGCACATGCTCCGGTGTTTGAGAGAGAGAATTATAAGAAGCATCATTTCCAAATTAGAATAAATTAATATATTGATAGAAAAAGAAATTGATGCCTGTGTTCCTTAAATGAGGAGATGCACTAACGTGGGGGCTGGGAGTCTGTGAGCTCCCAGTCTATAAAGGTCCACATCTAAATTCTGATGAAATTTAGAACTGGGGCTACATATTCTCATAACATATATGAAACTTCCAATCTGTGCTCAAGATTGGCTGATTTCCATGTGCATCCATCTTCTTTGATCAGAATCTAACTGACTTATACTCTTCTGTGATTAATTTTGTAAACTCTGTAACTTCACATGACTGCCTGCACTTGGGACTCCAATTAAAATATAATATTCTAAGGAGATGTAGAATTTTTATTTATTTTTTATCTAAATTGAAGTTTATTAACACTTATCCACTAGGTATATCTATATAATTAAAGCAATTCAAACTAAATACTGGATAAGGATTTAGCACAATCCTTATCCAGTGCTGCGGGTTATTATTTCATTTTCTATTTCTGTTTAGAATGGTCATTGTGGTTATTTCACAGGAAGCCCCTTGTTCTGAAGACACATTGAACTTTTTCTTATCCAATTTTTAAGGGTTTTTCTAATCCCCAATCTCCAAAAAATATTTCCAGAACTGTTGGATGATGATGGCACATTCCTTTAGTCCCAGCACTCAGGTGGCAAAATCAGGTTAATCTCTCTGTGTTTTATACTAGCCTGGTCTACTTGGCTCACTGCATAGCTCCAGGCCAGCCAATGCTTCAAAGTAAGACCCTGTTTAAAAAAAAAGGAAAGGAAGGAAGAAAAAGAAGGAAGGAAGGAGAACTCTCTCTACATATTTTTCATTATCTTTCAAGGATTACTTAAATCAATATTAGATCATTTATAGTTGTGACATAGTTTTAAAGATCAAAAGGACAGTGATATTATTTTGTGCTCAATAATCTTTTGAAATGCAGTAAATACTTTTAAACAGTCACATATAGTTACAGAAATCATGCTCAATCAATGTATTCTATTTGGACAAAAAAATAATAAATATAGTCATGGACAAAAAATAACAAAATAGCAAGGACTGTGGAATCTGGATTCAGAGATCCACAGCCAGACCCTGGTGGAGCTCCGGGAGTCTAATTAGCGAGAAAGAGGAGGATTTATATGAGCGAGAATATTTGAAACCAAGGTTGGATAAAGCACGGGGACAAATAGCCAAACGAATGGAAACACATGAACTATGATCCAAAGGCTGAGGGGCCCCCAACTGGATCAGGCCCTCTGAATAGGTGAGACAGTTGATTGGCTTGATCTGTTTGGGAGGCATCTAGGCAGTGGTACCAGGTCCTGGGCTCTCATTGCATGAGTTAGCTGTTTGGAACCTGGGACTTATGCAGGGACGCTTGGCTCAATCTGGGAGGAGGGGACTGGACCTGCTTGGACTGAGTCTACCAGGTCGATCTCAGTCCTGGGTGGGGAGGCTTTGCACTGGAGGAGGTGGGAATGGGGGGTGGGCTGAGAGGAAGGGGAGGGGGGCAGGAGGGGGGAGAACAAGGGAATTCGTGGCTGATATGTAGAACTGAATGGTATTGTAAAATAAAATAAAAGGAAAAAAAACCAAAATATTAACAGTAGTACATACATGTAACCCAATGCTGAAAATGACTCCATATTTGTAGAGGTAACCCAAATGAGTACTTTAAATGGAAGAGGAAACCAGAGTTACACAGTTGATGTGTGTGCGTTTAATGTGTTTATTGTACCAATTATGAAATGTGACTTAGGTTAACTTTAGTAATTGATGACATCCTCATCTTTACACTTGACTGAATCTACATGTTATACAATGACTGTGTATTTTAAAAGAGAAAATGCCTTTAAAATTTCAAATTAAGAGTCTGGAGCAGTGGCTCCATGGTGAAGAGCCCTTGCTGTTCTTGTGGAGGACCAGTGACCCACCTTCCTGTCAGGTGGGTAGTTTGTATGGCTCGTGGATGGGTAAGTCTTTTCTATGCCCGGTCAACCAATTCTCTAGAGCATATCTGTGCCTGCTTTTTAAGTCTGAAGCTTAGAATATGGACTAACAATCTATTTGGCATGGGGTAGTTCTTTGATACTATAAGCTTTGTCAAAGATTTGCTTTGATCAATCTTCAAAAAGTCAGAGTGCTCTCAGAGGCAGTATGTGACCTGAGATCTTCATAAATTCTCAATTTGCTAATGAATTCCACTATGAAATATTTTTTAAATAAAATACTATAAAACATTTTACTTCTTCTTATGTACATTTTCAGTATCTGCAGTAATAAATAAATGGTGTATACTCTATAACATGTAAAATTAAATAAGTTACAATGGACATAGTTTCCACTATAGTCTAGGTCCTAACACAAGAGCCTTCACATGGAGGAGAAAATAATATATGGAGTAAATTATAAGTAAACACATAATTAATTAACTATGTCATTTCAGCACAGTAAAACTACACTTGAATATACAAATCCTATTGCTATTCTTACAAATGGAAAAGTATAGGTCATGTTTCTAGTATTGTCATAGAGTGAGTTATTAAAATGTTTTATTCTCATTATATGTATTTTAAACTTAAATTGAAAATTTTAAAGATTTAAGTATCCTAACTTTTTTTAGATTCCTAAAAATGAACTATTTTATGTATCTGATAAACATGCTATACAATAGGAAAAATGAAAATCATATGATCCATCATTCTATACCATGGTGCCAATACATTGCTGTATGATTCATGATCAGTGTGTGTTGCATGAAAGACTTTCCTTTTGAGATACAAACATACAGAATAAATGAGGAGTATTGCTTACAAATCATCAGCCATCTATATCTACAATAGTCAGTGAAGTCTATGGTTTTCAAATCTTCAAGACAAGTGGAAGATTATTAGGAAATATTCTAGTTAGGTATCTAAAAATCCTGACAAACACTACATTTTGAAAATTAATTTCCATGAAGCATGTGTGTACTATTTGCTATTTTTGTATGTTTGTGAGGTCTATATTGATTAATTTATCCCAGATATCATTTTTCTCAGAAGGCTTTGTTCAAGCCAGATGATAATTGTTCTCAAAAGCAAATGAGCTACCAACCTTCTTCAGTCGTAAGGCTTGGGGAATAAGCAGAAGAGGGGTGGAAAGAATGTAGGAGACGAAGATGAGGGGCAGCTTCTGAAATGCTGCTTCCAACCATGAAATGGCCATTGCATTCATGAACGCATAACCGCACAGAACCCAAACAGGCCACTTCATGTGTTAGAGGATCATCAAAATGGGAGAATGTTCACTTAATTTCTCATTCTATTTCCCCAAATCAAAATATGGATGTATTTACTTGTTAAGTAGCAAAAATAAGTGGTACATTGGACAAAGAGTGAAAAGTAAATCTTATTTCATTTCCTAAGATTTTTGAAAATTTAAATTAATTCATAAAGAGTGTAAGAGGGGTTAGAGGACATCAAGAAAACAAGGCCCTCTAAATCAATATGAACAAAACTCATGTGAACTCACAGAGACTTGAAGCAGCATGCACAGGGCCTTCATGGGTCTGCAGCAGGTCCTCTGTGTATATATTATGACTTTCAGTTTAGTGTTTTATTGGATTCAGTTTAGTGTGTACATTTTCTTGGGCTCTTTTCTTGCAGTTGGTTTGTCTTGTGCAACCAGATGTGATAGTCTTTGCTGTATTTTATTATATTTTATTTTGTTGTACTTTAAAAAACATGAATGAATGAATGAATGAATGAATGAATGAATGAATGAATGAATGAAAACCCAGCCACTCAGGAAAAGGTTACACCTGCTGGGAGAGGAAAATCAGTTTTCTCCAATAAAGTAGCACTGGATAGATCAGCCACTGGAGGATAGACCTCATGTTCAGGTGAAGTAGTTGACCAACATGTAACGGATTCCACAGTTTTTCTGTGTTATTTGGTTAGAGTTTAGCGGTTTTTTTTTGAGAAAGAACTTAAAGTTGGGTTGGTAGGGAGAGGGAGCAGATCTGGAAGAACTTGGGAGAGGGGAAGAAAATGATCAAAATATATTTAAATTTTAAAATTGTTTAAATAGTATAAAATATAATAATAAAAAAGAAAATTTTATGTGTACATATAATACATTCTGGTTACTCCCTCTACAATCTTCTTTTTATCTCCCTTGTCAACTTCTCCTCCTCACTGCCTATACTTTTCCTAGATTCATGATGTTTGGTTTTGTTGTCTGACCCATTTAGTTTAACCACTGCCATTTGCATGACTACTTTATTTGGACTATCCACTGGAACCTGAGAAGGGATCCTTTCCCCAAATTTTGCAGCGGTCAAGAGTCAGGCACTCTGGGCCTCTCCTCTTCCATTGCTACCTGTTTGTGGAACCATTCTTGTACAGACCTAGTGTAGGCATCTTTAGTTGTTGAGAATTCCTGATTCCTATGGCTGTATATTGTCCAGAAGATGGCATTTCACCATATTCTTCTGTATTTTCTAGCTCTCTCCTTTCTGCCTCCTCTCCACAATGTTCCCTTAGCCTTGGAGGAGAAGGTCTTGTTAAGTGCTGTCTAGGTATAAGAGTGTATTTACAAGGTGATTTGATGCTATGCCAATTTAACTAAAAACAGAATTAAGTTCCCCATAACCTTCCTTCCCATGAGTGTTTGACTATATTTACAGTTCTGGGCATTTTGTCCCTCCTGTAAAGTGAGCCTAAAATCAATTGGTTACTTTCATAATTTCTTGCCACTATTACACAAATATCTACATGCTGCCTGACAAATTGGTGTTGTTTGCGGAATTCACAACTGGTTA